AAATGATAATTATCGGTGCTTCTAGGGTAAAACAACTCAAGTGCCGCCAAATAAAAAAAAAAAAACTGCGTATGAAAATGAATGTGAAAAAAAAAAAATAAAAATAGGATGAAACACTTTAAAGAAACAACGGAAGTCACTCATGATCAATTCGTGGTCAAGATGCCTTGTAATTACGCGTGATTCTGCACCAATGATTACATTATTTTATATTTATCCCCCTAGTTTAATTAAATAAAAATTATTTTTACTTTTCTAACAAGCTAATTAAGCATTCTAAATCCAGCTCGTGTCTAATTCTTTAACTATGTAAGCACTACTGTCTGAAAGTACCAATAAGGTATCTCGATTTTGATATAAATACCACCGATGTTGACAAGAAATATTCCCGAAAATTATATTTATTTACATTCAAGAATGGCACAATTTCATTCTATCGCTAAAATATTTAAAGATCATATCGACACGATGCCAAATATCCCTTTCCTTGACGTTGAATCTATTATTGAGCAAATGCCCAACACAAGACGTACTTTGGGTTCACTAGGGGCTTTCTATTACATTATAAGATTTATAATTAATCAATCAGGCCTTAACATTTACTCGCCAACAATTTTCGATGAAGCCATATCATACACAACTGAGATCATTTGGGCCACGTTGAATGAAAATGAAAGAAAGCGTTATCGATCTCTCTCAAAGCAAGTAAATAATGCAAACGGAAATGGGCAACAATTATCAAATAGTGATCAAGCGCAATTCGCTCAAGACTTATTTAATGGAATCCAGTGGTAAAACATAAGACTAAGTATGAAGATAATAAGATAATAACATGTTGATCATGTCATTAAAATTAATCAAAAAATATATATTTTTTTCATTAAACAAGATATTTATAATTTAATAATAATAAATTTTTTAAATTTCTGAAAGCTTTAATTTTTTTTTTCCATTACCTTATATAAAATATATGTAAAATTCGATTTAAAAAAGCAATTAATAATAATAATATATTTAAATTAAATAAAGCTCCAAGATACAGTTTTATTTAAAAAGTTTTCGAACAAATATTTATTTATTTATTTGAATAAATTTTTAGAGGTATATTTTTAGAAAATTAAAAAATAAAATATTAAGTTTTTTTAATATTTTACTAATAAATTTATTTTTAAATTTGTTTTTTAAACTAAAATAAAGTTAATTAAAAAATTTTTTTTAATAAATATCAACTTTTTATTCTAATATATAAAAATATATAACTAATAAGAATATATATCTCTTAACTTATATAAGTCAATATTAATTTATTAAATAATTATTTAAACTATATTAGAAAAAAGATTTTAAAAACTAATATATTATTTATATATTGATATATCAAATTATAATTTGAAAATAGTAAGCAAATATAATTAGAATTAAATATTTTTTTATATTAAAATTTTGATTTATATAATTTTTTTTTTTTGATAAATATTAAATATATAGATTTTCTTAAGTATAATATTAATAATTTTTATAAAGTAAATTATAAAATAAATTAATCTGAACTTGTTAAAATTTAAAAGTTGACATATATAAATTTTTAAAAATTCAAGTAGAAAAAAAAAGATAAACAATTGTTAGTATTAGTTAAATTATTAACTATATTTCTTAAATTGTAATGCAAACAAATTTGCTTGCATATTTAAAATTTTTAATATTAATTTTTACAACTTACTTATATTATAAAAATTATAATTTAAAATATTCTTTATT